TTGAATTACTGAAATTGCACTAAGTAGGCTTAATGCTCATTTGACAAGAAAATAGAATTATGGCTGCTCCTTGCGTGTAGGCTTCATATTCAACACAACTCTGTGTCTCTGAATCATTGATACTCACTAGACCATAAGCAATATTATGAAACTAGCTTTCTGCAAATGATGAAATGCCTTTGAAGGTTAAAAGCTTTTCTTTGAAGTTGAGTAAAGAGATTTGTATGTTAATTTATGCTTTTCTGAGTGCTAATGTTAAAGCATGTTTGTTCATTAAAAAATGTGTTTTTAACTGAGATACTGAAAAATGTACAACCATGACTGTACAATATGCAAGTTTCTACAGAGAGCTTCTGCAAGGTCTAAGTACTGACTGGAGTCTTATTGAAGCACTTTCAAATGAGTTTTGAAGCAGGACATGATAAGATTTGTGTGGGGCTCTCTACAGTGAGACAATTCAGGGCGACTTATTTCAGTACCTCCTCTGTAGAACTCCAGGTTACAGCGAAAGATCTAGCTTTATAAATGTAAGGACAGGCAGTTCTCAGATCCCTTTTGAAATTACAGGAAGACAACCACTGATGCCAGTTGTGATTCTGCTTATGTACATTCACATCTTGTCTTCTGAGACAAATTCATTTCCATCTTTCATGCCCCCGCCCCATTCCCCACCCGATTAACATATCACTGGGTTGCATGTCTTGTCAGCCTGCATCAGTCACACTGCGCTATATGGGCAGTCCAATGCTGCTGATATGACCTGACATAACTTACCAAGTGATTTCTCAGCAGAAAAGGTAAAGATTTTTTTTTTTGAAGTGTAACTGTTTTTATTAATGGATTTCTCTGTCCAATAATTTTAAGAAAGCATTATGAAACAAATCCACAGGAACAATTTTGTAAAGTATTAACGAAGAAAACACACTTGTGTTTTCAAACCATCAACTAGTATTTTGACCATTTTTCTGCTTACAAAAGACTTACATTTTCAGATCAAGTGTATAAATATTGGGAATACATTGACTTTTTTATTAACAAGAAAATGCATGTAAAAATATATGGACATGTGTCTTACTGAATATGGATTATGCACATATATTTCTGTAAAGAATTTTAAAACCCCTTCCAGTGTATTATTTCAGATTTTTACCTATTAGATTTTTTGTGGAGTGGTGTTTTTTCAATAACTTTGCAGAGAAATTATGTGCCATAGTTAAGTTTTCCTAAATTTGTATCTGACAAGGTTTTAAATCCAGCCAATTTTACTGACATTCTAAAGTACACTCATAGAACTGAAGATTACTCAAGAAAAGCAAATTTACCACACTAAATTCTAGGTGTTCTACCATTTCAATAACTTAGGATTTTAAGTTTCTATATGAAAGATGTGAGTATTCTTATTTGCAATAACTAGATATTAGATCCTTATCCTACAAGGCAAACAGAGACAGTATATATAGTATACGGGACACTGAGACTTTCCTGACATAAAGTTATATGATATGCTGTAGTAGAGCTCAGGTCTGAGTTTGAGGCTTGATGTCTCTATTGATGATATGCTCTTCTTTCCCCACTGTTTTTCCATAGCAGACAATATTCAACTATTATTGTTCTGGTTTGTTTTGTTTTTTTTTTCCTGGCTCTGCATACTTTTATTTGCATCAGAAAGGGGAAATATGGGATAAATTACTGATTCAATGTGTAAGCAGAAAATTAGGAAACATAGGCAAACACCTAAAAGGAAATTTGGGCAGGATAGAACGATTTAATTAGCAATATATGCTACGACAAGTAAGAAGATTTACTGCCAGCTGTATTGTATAAAACACTGAGAGATTAGTGTTATGTACCGAAACACTATAGCATATGTAGAAATCATTCAAAGAAATTAATCCTCAGTCTTCTCCTTGAGCTTCAGTATTTATTGCTTCTAAGTCTACTCTTTCTGCAACATAAGCTACAATAAAAGAAAATGTTACTGCTTTTATAAAAACTGTCAGGCACTTCTCAATGATTAAGCATACTTGGAACTTCTTATTCAAAAGTAATGCTAAGAGGGAACCAAAAATAAAATAATACAAAGATAGAAGTAGGGAAGAATTTAAATAAATCAGCTAACCCCAAAGTGTCAAGTTCTGTTCCTTTTTTGTGCTTAGCTGGCAGGTAGAATAAACTAATATATGAACTATCAGGTTTGGTACTGTTTCTTTATTATTGCTCCAACCTGCCGGGGGACACAAGTGTCCTGGGATGCATTAACAGGATACATCCTAGGAACAGTGGAAATGGGATTGTTTCACCCCATTGTCTCTGTACCACTTTTTTTTTTGTAGTGGTCAGCTTTAATTTTCCTATCTACTACTCCCATTCACAGAATCATTCCAAATCCTTCTTGATGTGGTTTTAGCAACTCTTTGCTTACAGTACCTACTCTGCTTTTCAAGTCCTTTCAGATCCCAGCACTATGAATCCTAAATAAATTTATAGAAAGGGACTTTCTTTTTGTCAAGACATTAAAGGCACAGTAGTTGATTATGATGTAGATTTACATAGTATTTATGAACCCTTTCAGATTGAGCAGGAGACTTGTAGATAAAGGGATACCAAATTAACAATAAAGTAACTTTTAATTAGGTAAAGTAAGTTTATCATGAGAATGGGAAGTAACACTGGTAAAACAACAAGCCAGTTAAAAGAAAGGCATGATAATCTAAATAATGCAGCAATGTATTTGGTACAAATTAAATAATAAAGGTCCAGGGAAATTAAGCAAGAGGTCCCAACGTTGTGTAATTGAGATCACTTCAAAGTCTTTGATTTAGTCTTTCACATACCAAGGGAAAAGGAACTTTTTTTTCAGATTCCTTCTCTCAGGATATCAAGTTATCAAATGTATTTTCAGAGATGAGAAATACTAGTAGTATTGACTCAGGGGGTCAGGTTCAATTCTGAAATTTGAATGAAGGTGACTGGTAGGAAGATTTGCAAATGATTTTACATGCAGGCAATTTTTGCCACATTAACTCTGCTGCTGGTAATTTCATATATGTACTAGGAATGTGTATTTATAAACATAGGTGCATCAACTATTCTGGTTATAAGCAGTTTGGGGAAGGCTGAACTTTGAACTGTTAGCAATATGCTTAACATTGAATAGGATACAATAACAAAACCATGATCGTATTTCCCCAACCTGTTTCATTCAGCCCAATGAAAAGATATTCACAACACTCAGACTGGGATGCTGAAGTGTTTTGCCTTTTTTTTAATAGTTTTTTTAATAGTTGAAGGACTACAGAGAAGCACTATGATTAGAAGGCACAGTGATACAGAGTAATTAAATACTGTAAAACAATCAGGAATTTAGGATGAATGACAGAAGGACGCAAACTTAACATTTTTCTTTGGTTTCCCTCTGAAAACAATATTCCTGTAAAAGCATGTATATTGATGGTTATATAAATTCTTGGATTAAATATACTTTGTGTACTGTATCTCTGTAATCTAAGGCAAACTTTTGTCATTCTTCGGTGTTTGAAAATCAAAAGGTAATCTTTTATTTGCCTAGTGGTATAATGTCTCGGATTACCTTTACTCTGAGATTTAGTTAGCTTAAATTTCTTCACAATGACTAAGTACATCTTTTCTATTTCTTAAAAAAGTTTCTTTTATTTACCATGGGGAAATACCTCAAATGCAATGATTCAGATCATTAGTGACTTCAGAGAAATTGCACTATGCAATTTGTGTAGAAGAATACATTCAAAACAGATGGTAGAGAGAGGTAGAAGTTCCCAATGGTAGAGAGAGGTAGAAGTTCCCAATGTAATTTACCTTGTTTTCCTGGAAAGCTTGTTGACTGCTAATTGACTTCAAAAGTTCAGTCCTGCATAGTACTCACGTTGTACTGATGCCACACAGGCTCTGTGTCGTACTGAAGTGTTGGTGTCTCAGAAGGGAAATCTCTTACAGAATAACCACAGCACTTTCAGCACAACTTAACCATGATTCACTTTGTAAACATAAACAGGATTAAATATGGAGGTTTTTTCCCTTAAAAAAACCTGCAAAAATTCATGGAGTATTCATAGATTTGAATAATTGTAATAATTGCCTTGCTGCATACATTGTGATATTATCTTAATAAAACACCAGCTATTTTCACCCACATCTGGAAATTAACACTGTCAAACTAATCTTCAGTAAGATTTTAACCTTTTCTTTATGTTAAATTATTATTTTCACTAGATGGCACTTTGTCTCTCTTCATCACATTGCTAACATTAGAACTCCTTAGTTCAGAAAAATGGCCCTTAGTACTTGTATTTACAGACATTTAATGATGTAGTAAAATCTGACAAATAAAGCTTTTTCAAATGAAGATGTACACAGTGGGAAAGCTTTGTAATGCAGCCCACATACCCCTGTAAAGAAATGGAGGACTCCTTAAAAAGGATTACATATAAAAAATATTTGTGGATAAGCTTTTTTTCTTTTCTCATCTGAAAGATTGAGGAAAGTGAGTATATTGTCACTAAGGGTATTTGGAGACAGATAGTATTTCTAACAAGGGTGTAAGCCAAATACTAGAGTGCAGCTAACCCTGTTTAACACTGTCACAGGTTAACCCTAGTAACTAAGCACCATACAGCTGCTCACTCACTCCCACACAACAGGATGGTGGCGAGCAGCAGAAAGCTTAAAAAGAAAACTTGTGGGTTGAGATAAGAAGAGTCTGATAATTTTAAAATAATAATAATAACAACTATGACAACAACAACAATTTGTAATGAAAAGTAAAATAACAAAGGGAGAGAAAGTTAAAACTCATGAAAAACAAGTCTTGCTAATGAAAGACAACTGCTCACCATCAACTAAATGAACATAGAATCACAGAATCATAGAATCAGCCGAGTTGGAAGGGACTTCTGAGATCATCAATTCCAACTCTTGATCCACTACCACTGTGGTTACTAGGCCATGGCACTAAGTGCCACATCCAGTCTCATCTTAAAAACCTCCAGGGACGGAGGATCCACCACTTCCCTGGGCAGCCCATTCCAGTGCCTGATTACCCTTTCTGTAAAGAATTTCTTCCTGATATCTAACCTAAATCTCCCCTGGCACATCTTGAGACCATGCCCTCTTGTCTTACTGACAGTTGCCTGGAAGAAGAGACCAACCCCCACCTTGCTACACCCTCCTTTCAGGGAGTTGTAGAGAGTGATGAGATCTCCCCTGAGCCTCCTCTTCTCCAGGCTAAACAACCCCAGCTCCCTCAGCCTCTTCTCATAGGACTTGTGCTCGAGTCCCTTCACCAGCCTCATTGCTCTTCTCTGGACCTGCTCCAGCACCTCAATATCCTTCTTGAACTGAGCAGCCCAGAACTGGACGAAGTACCGAGGTGTGGCCTCACCAGTGCTGAGTATAGGGGAGGAATCACTTCCCTGGTCCTGTTGGCCACACTGTTCCTGATATAGGCCATGCTCAGCCTATCCTTGAGCGGCAGCCCCCAAGCCACTTTACTCCTAGTTTATATGCTGAACGTGATGTCATATGGTACAAAATGTCTCTTTGGTTGTATCCCCTCCTGACTTCTTGTGTAATTCCATACTCCTTGCTGACCTGACAGCATGAGAAGCTAAAAACTCCTTGACTTAGTGTAAATACCACTTAGTAACAACAAAAACATCAGTGTATTCTCATAATTATCCTCATCCTAAATCCAAAACACAGTACTAGAAGGAACCAGCTAGAAGGAACAAAATTAACTCTATCCCTTCCAAAACCGGGACAATATCCACCCCTTACTTTATATCACGTACATCACGCCCCAGTCCCATACTTTTCAATAAATTCCAATTAGTCACTACCACCCTTCCTGTCTTTTGATATATACTCACATATATCACTCCACAGTCTACAGGCCATCCACTAAAATGTCTGTTGAGCTAGTCATGACTTTGGGCTGTATCTTGATCCTTCTGAACAAGAGAGGTAGTGTGTAGTGCTTCATGCTGAAGCCAGTTCTGATTCCATTAAAATTCATTCTTCTTTAATTAGTGTGATTCTTACTGTAATATTGTTCACATGGCATGTAACAACCATAGTAGTGATGACGTACAGTATTATGTAGCAATTAACACCATACAATTCAAATTATTGGCTATTCTCACCTAATTCAAACCTCCTTGAGTTACACATTGGACTTCTTCATCTTTCCCACATTATCCATCAAGTGTTTCCAGTGAGCAAAAGCAATCCTATGGATAAGGTTTACCTTTGTCTGGGGTAGGAATAACCCAGGCTGCCTTCCCCAGCATATTTTTATGTGCACCACAGAGACCTTATCCCCCTCTACATTACGTAAGAGTTTTATTAGGCAAGGTCAGCTTGACTGTCAGATGTCCTAGTATTAGCTAACCAAGCAGCTTCTTTTAAATGTGTATCCCAACGTTTGAATATCCCAACAATCATTGATCTCAGTGTTGTCTTTAACAGTCCAATGTGTTGTTCAGTTTTCCTGAAGGTTGGTGCATGGTAAGGGATATGATAAATCCACTCAATGCCATCCTTTTTGTCCCAGGTGTTATGGGTGCTGAAGGAGAAAATGAGGCTGCACACACAGAGTTCGATTTTTGGACTTGTCCACTGACAAGTGTTTTCGGTGTTCTCCTTTTATTCATATTCTCTCATGAACAGCACCCAGTGTTTTTCTTTTAGTCAACTGGAATTCTCAGGATCATCCCAAACCAGTGCCCTGATCCCACACATTCACACTCGCGTCATGCGGTGGCTGCTTATCCTGCAGGCTGTTTAAAGTGGTTTTCCACTTTGAGAAATAACATTCTCTCTCTTAAAGTGCTTAGCCAAGGTCTATCCTCCCTTTTGATTTGGATTAACTCAATGCAGGTGCAGAGTAACTCAGCTTGTTCCCACAAGGTGTCTTTGAGGTTATTTCAGAAATGAGTCCCACTGTCTGACTCTATTCTTTCTGGGATGCCATGGCACCGTAAGACCTGTTTTTCAAGGCCCAGGATAGTGTTCTAGGCAGAAGCATGGGGCACAGGATGTTTCCTACCATCTGGTGGTTGCTTCCAGTGTTGTTAACATATGGCACTTGCCTTGGCAGTTTTGTGGGAGTGTAATATAATCAGTCAGACCTCCCCATCTTTATATTTCAGCCATTTTCCATACCAGAAAGGCTTTAACTGCTTGGCTTATTTGATTGCAGCACATTTCACATTCATAGATAACGTGTCGTGGTGTCCATGTCAAGTCCACCTCTAGATCCTGAGCCCACCTATATATTGCATATCTTCCTTGATAGCCTGAGGTGCCATGGGCCCACCGAGCTATAATTAATTCACCCTTATATTGTCAGTCCAGATTCACCTGAGCCAGTTCAATCTTAGCAGCTTGAACCACTCTGTGATTGTTTCCATGGTTCTTCAGTGGCCCAGCTCCTGGGTATGTGAACAGCTAAGTGACATACTTTTACAATCAGGTTTTCCTCCGGGGCAGCTTATCCTGCCACAATGCTTCCTCTTGCCTCTGCACTGCCAGTTCCTCTGCTGACATTGCTGTAGTCTCCCCACAGGGCACTTACCACCATTCATGAGTCAGTACAGAGCCAGAGCACCAGTTACTGTTCTCAGTCAGGAATACAAAAAACCAGTTGGAGAGCCTCCACTTCTGCAAAATGAATTTAATGTTTGTCAGGAAAACAAAAGCAATTAAATCCATCAAAAATAAAAATAAATTTAAAAATATTCAGTCAGAGCTCTTCTTATTCTTGCTTATCTTCCAAGTATTGGCAGCTACATGATTATTTGATCCTTCATCATTTTACTTTTAGTTATGATGCTGTAAACAACTTTCACAGAGCTTGGATGAACACTGTTATCAGCAGGGAGAACTTTGCTAGCATTTGCAATAAAATGAAGTTACAACATTAATGTGGGGCAAAAAAAATCATTCATGGTTATAAACCATCCATTCCTCCACTTGAGGGCATTTTCCAAGATACTGAAGAATTTCTTACTATATATGGTATATATTGCTTTCTCAAGAAGAGAAATTCCTTGGATTCTTGGAGATTGGCATGAAAATACAAACATTTCATCCTATTTTACTTATTCATATGGCATGACAGGCAAAAATGAGTCTGCAGAGCATTGCAAGCTATCACAGGTAAATATTTTAGCCCATTCTATCCAGTTGTATTCCTTTTCATAACAGTGATTTAAAAAATCTGTGTTCCTTAAGAGCTTCTCTAAGAACAACAGGAAAGATCTGGAATTAGTATCTCTATTTGCCTTTTAAAAAATATTCTTCCTCCACTATCCAAAAAAATAATCAGCATAACATAACCACCAGAAAATATTTGTGTTCATGTGAAATAAAATGTTATTTTATAATAATCAGTACTCAGAAATAACTAACATAATATAAAACAAATCAATGTCTCCTCATTATTTTAGTCACATGGATTTCCTACTAGCTTCCATATAAAGAAGAGTAAGTATATTTCAAAATATTATGCTGTTGTCTAACTGTTGTATGTTGGAATCTGTCAAGTAAATGAGTAAACTGTTTACCTTCCTGTTTTTTAGTCATTACTGGCTGTATACATTTACATATTATTACATAAAATTACTACAGTCATCCAATTTTTTTCTTAATGCAGTGCTGCCAAGTTTTATATTCTAGGGCTGAAATTTTTTATGAAAAATATATACTTGTTTAGGAAAACCAGGAGTTTTTCCAGTATTAAATTTTAAAATATAATTCTTACCACATTGACATTTCAACTGGCAGATGAAACTTAGCTTGGAATCACCTCTGTGTCAGGGATGTGTCTTTTGCTATTTCATGACCATTTACTCCAGTGTTTTTATTTTGAAAACCAGCCTTCAGCAACTGCTTCTTAGTATTTAGGAGCTGAAATCTGTACAAATTCCATTCTCATTGAGCCTATGCATCCTTTCATAGATGATTGCCCTGCAAATATAATTCCATAATAAACTTCCCTTAGGAGATACTATTGACTATAAGACTGGGCACCAGTGTAGCATTCAGTTCAATTCCTGAGTGTTTGACTGGGAAGAGCAGGAACTTGAAGACTGCAAATCTAGTGACTTATCCTGAAAATGTCACATGATGATATCTGATGTCAATACATGGGGGTTTTTAACTGTTTTATGCGTTTCAAGCGTAAAGAACTTCACATCATATTGTAGTCCTTACAACAGAGTTCTGTGGAAAAAGTAATAGAAAACCATGTAATCAAGACTTCGTTATAATATGTGGGACCAGTGAATGCGATGAACACTCATTTTGGCAACTTTTAAATCATCAACATTGCAACCTTAGTCTCTTTAATGTAAGGCAAGTGTTTATATGCATAATTTAGTATCAAATGAATGAAGACTACATATGACTCTTCAGTGGTACCAGGTTGATATCCACCAACAAGCCAATTAACATTCATGACATTTTGAAGTGAAGGAACAGCAGATGAGTCTTTCTTAAAGGCTTTAGAGACCTGTTAAAAGTAAGATTTAAAGTTAGCCTGAAGAGATGGCTATTGTGCATTTGTTTTCAACAGAAAGTTTTTAAAATTTATGCATGAAATTGATTTTTCAAAGCAGTGTGTACAATCTTTGACAGATTTGTGACAGAGAATGAACATTGCAGTGGAGACTATAATCTCCTTTGGGCAAAAACTAGGTTGAACACTTCTAAGGATGAGACTGTGAAAGAATGTAACCTGGAAAACAACAAAGGAATAGTTGCTTCATGAGTTTGGGTAGTTATGTAGGTTTTTTTAAACTTATATTTTTTAAACAATATAGCATATTACAGAGCACCGTTCTACCGTGTAGCTGAGTGATGGAGGACAAAACCCCTCTCTTTTCCTTATTTTAAATTAAATAACAGGTAATTTAATGAAGTGTCTGCCAGTTTTAGTCTTAAGGGAAACTGAATATTTGTTCTCTCTTCACCTTCTCCATATCATTTATATCTGTCTTCATGTCTTTTCCAATGTCAAGAAACTTAATATATGTGGTTTTCCCTAATTCAGTATAATTTTCTCCTTTGTCTGTCTTGTTGCTTTTTTTCTGTATTATTCATAATTCAAATTAGTCCTTTTAAAAATAACTTTAGGAGTTAATAAACTTTCACAGGGTTTATAATTAGCAGGATACAAGAGATTTATTGAGCAACATTTTTTTTCTGTCAACTTCTTTCCTAGTAAGTTTCAACATACAATTTTCTCTTTTGACTACAAATACATATTGACATTTTCAGAGAACTATCCATGAATTCAAAATCCTTTTCCTGAGTATCAATACAATATTCAGAGCTGTAAATGTATATATTCTATTTCAGATATTTTCTCCACATGTAGTCAATTCACACCGGATTTTATCCGTTCTTTTATCACTAATTCATTTAATGCTTTGAGATCTTCCTGTTACTCTTCATAGTTAACTGTTTCTGACTGGTTTAAATTTGAAGAGCAGAGGTCCCAGTATATATTTCTATGGGCAATCTAATGGCTTTATTTGTTTCTGTCCTTTGTTTGTTTTTCATCAGATATTAATTAATGAGGAATATCATTTGTCTTCTGCCTTGGCAGCATAACCTGTTTGTTCTTAAATTTGAAAAACATAACTCATTGGAAATCATATATAGTGTACCAACTTCTTTTCGCAAATATTTTGGCAAGTTATGAGACACAGGGTCACCTAGTTGGGTTGCTAGCAAGATTAAAATTGTGCATTAAAGCTTCTGCTGTCATCTACCAGAATCAGAAACACAGAGTATCCAAGAGCTTTTTGGCAAACTTCTGCAAAATGTGGCTTCCTTATAAGTTACTAATAAACAATCATTATTTAACTGAAATCTAGAAATAAGCAAAACAAGATGGACCTTGGTAAAAAATCACTTCCAAATCGTGGACCAGTACAGTTTCTTATATTCCTGATGACAGCCATGCACACATAGACAAGATCTTCAGGCAAGAAAGAAAACGGGAGAGTCACAATCTGGGCATATCTGTATCTGTATCCTATTGATTAAGGCTTTTATATAAGAGTAGAAAATTCATCTAAAATAAAAAGGTCCTCAGACTGAATCAAACAGCTTGAGGAACCCTGTATGTCTATTTGATAGCAAGGAGGTATGTGTTTCCTTCAGGAAGGGTGGGCTTTGGTTATGTAACACCACCAAGAGAGCTAACAACTGAAAACTGGACCAAAAGTAGGTGATCAAAACTGAAGTACTATGCCCATACAGTGAGATTTCTGTCTTAGATCTGACTGAGCTAGGTCTGACACTGGAAACAGTATATAATCCTGCACGTGCTAATTAACCTCACAGTAGTACCGTGGCCTGCGACCTCAGCTACAGCACTAGACTAATACAGGTTCATTGCTTTGGGATCCTCAGTATCTTCATTTGGACCCATCTGATATTAAGCAAATATACCATCTCAGTACATATCCCTTCAGGGGTCCTAGAATATGCTTTATTAATATGCCCTGGGCATCCTCTCAACTCCTTTTGTGACCCACAATGCATGAAGACACTTTTCGGCAGTATGTCTGTAAAATGATTTGTGTGAAACAAATTGCTTGAGATGTGAAACTTTATCAGTTATTTAGATTTAGTCATAGTCATGTAACAAATACTTCATGGATGTTGCTGTATTTTTCAAATTTTCTGCTAGCTGTGCTGCTTCTGTTGTTCAATGATGTATTTGCCTTAGTATGACAACTCACATGGTAAATGGTTTCCTGGGAAGGAGCCTATTTAATGTATTTGACCTCAAACACGCTAATAAAGCCACATTAATAATATGGTTGTCTTTAAAACTAGTATAGGAGAAATAAGCCTTTTTAAAGGAGAGAAAAATACTACTCAATCAAATAGTAATAAACAAATGAGATAACGAACAGTAAAATAATGTTACATGATTTTGAGAAGAGGAATTATATTTAGACTAATTTTAAGGAAATAAATTGTTCAGTTATATTTCAATGTTTGAGACTAATTTTCAGCCATTCTATCTTTCAGTATTATTCTTCTTTTTGTTTTACATTTCTTTTTAAGGCAGCGTATTATACTAGCAAAGATGATCTTACATGTGAGACTACAGAAAAGAGGTCAATTCCTACTTTTGTTCTCAGTTATACAAATTCAACATCAGTTGATAGAACTCAACAGAGTTATTTCTGGCACACTCTGATATATGAAAAATGTCAATATGGTCTTTGGAATTCTGAATGCGTATATATACTTATTTTCCAATTCTAGTGGAACATTCAGTGTTCTGTATAGATGAATTGTAGTATATATGTAAAGTATATATAATTCTATGAATAGAACTCAAAAAGCTATGAACAAGAGACCTCAAATCAGAATACAAAATATGATGCTACCTACAGACAAACATGCAGACCAAATACTACCAGTGGTTCCTGCTTATGTCCTGTAAAATGGTACTTCAGCAAGAGACAAAACTCAGTGCTTCATGGAGGCTTGCTAATACCTTTCATTTATAAGGATGTTAGTGGTAAGTCCCACAGGAGCTTAAGTCATAACAACATGCCTCTGTTTTCTCTCACTAAACCTGAGGAAATTTGTTCACGAGAACTTTGCAGTGCTAGAGCTTCCAGAGGCCGTTGTTCATATTCTTCACACATGCTTATCCCTTAGGATAACCTGAGGAAGCATGATTACCTCCAGTCTTCCCTCAGCATCAGAGATGTTACCTGTAGGAGACATCTATGATCAGCTGTTTTCAGAATTTCCACTAGAAGAATCCAATAAACTCTTGGAAATAACTTTTCTAGTCTCAGTTAGTAGAGGTCAAAAGCAGACTCTGTAGTTAAGATCCACCTTATGACCCTTAATGACAATAGGTGTATGAATCAGGAAAATGGACTTCCACAGCTGCAAGCCATGGGAGAGGTCCAAATAAAATGCCCATGTATTATAAACTTACCTATCCAGGATGCAGCACAGAGAAATTTGGGATAGGAAAAATATGAATAAAAACAGTTATTAAAAATAAATAAATAAAATAAAATAAATTTATATAAAAAAATCAATTGCCTAATATGGTCAGGATGATTATTAATTAGAATAATTACTCCTAAATGATAAATTTAGGAATAAAGGTGTTCAGCAATACTTCAAGTGCAGAACCAGTAGTGTAAGATGTACTTTTTGGCATACATCATTCCAGTATTATTTTGTATTTATAAGGAAGATACGTGTAAAATTAACTATACGAGCATATCATATGCACAGAAGTATAAGGAAGTCAGCAGTTCTGAAAGGGGAACAGGATAATCAAATGCCTGAGAAAGAAAACAAAGCACTTGATATCTTGTTGTGTTTTCCAATCTGTACAGTAAGTCAACTGCTCTCTTTTTTTCCCCCCCACCTCATCAGGATGTTGAAAATATGCAGCTGCCTGCTCAATGGAGTTAATGAATTCTAGCACAGGTGCTCTTGATTGTATTGCATAATGGAAACCCTTTTTCTTATCCCTCTCTTTACTTCTTTACTCTGTATAAAAGGCTAATAAGGTTATTGTAGCAGTGATGACTCTGAAGCAGATAAAAGTTTGAGCAAACAGATTCAGAGGAAAAACTGAGTTTTGCAGATGTTATTGACATTGTTTGTAACTTGTAACTTGAGATACTTGTTTGTCTTTTTTGACTAAACTTTTGAGGGACTTTGAAGAATTTTTTAAACACGACATGCTAAATTCAAAAGATGAAATAGGGAATACTGAATGTCAAAACAGTGACATGTATCATAAAAAATAAATCCTGGCCCTACTGAAGTGGTGACGAAATTCCCAGAAAGTTAACTACAGTCAGGAAATCGTAAATTTGTTTTCAAGGTAGGTAGAATTTAGTTTTTTGTTTAGCTTTGCACAACTCAAAGTTGCCATTGAATATATTCAAGATAAAAGAAATCTTTTATTGTTCAAAAAAACCAGATTCTAGTTCAGGCTCCTTTATCAGAGAAATAAAGCCTTGGATCTTCTCTAAGTTAGGTTGAGGTATTACAAACCCTCTTAATTTCTGTGATATATGAGCAGAAAAAAAGAAATTTCAAGTGTACAGTAAGTCTGTACAAGGATAACTAGAAAGCTTGTTTTGTGCAAGCAGTTTACGGTTGGCAAATGTCAGTAGATTAACACTTTTTGTTGGATATGGAAAATGTGTTAAACTGACTAAACCCTGTGCATTTTGTTGGCAGCAAATTAAAAGAAAAAAATCCAACAAATTAGAGATTTTTTTGATTTACGTCAAGAAATGCCATTTATTTGAATGAGGATTCACAGTGGAGAGAGCCATGCACAGGTTCCCTACTGTCAGCATATTAACAAACAAAATGCAGCATGGAATAGCAATAAAATTTTTTAATGCCTCCCAGTTAAAAAATAAACAAACAAAAAACCAACCAACCCTAAACAAACAAATAAACAACACTCAAGTTTTAAAAAACAAAGAGAAAAGCTGCAGTCAAGAAGATCCAAATATAAATTATCTTGTACTTTCTACTGTCACAATCTGAAAACAAAGAAAAATTATCTGCCACTGAGAAAGATGTGAAATTTCAAAAGTGTTATGAGTTGTTATGAAATACTAAAATAATACAAGATATCAAAAGAAGAGACAAGAATCAAGAATCTAAGAGTTTGGTAAAGCATGATAAATCTAGAGACTCATTCTACTATGTGCTTCAACACATCAAAAAAGAGAGGTGATGAGACAGTTTAGATAATATTTAGAGATAGGAAGTTCTTATCTTTGAGTCAATCAGCCTAAGGATACTGGAGGACACACAACAACATGAAGAATCTTATTTTTAGCAGAATGAACAACTTATTACAATTAGATCAGGGTGGGAACTAACCCTGCACAACTGATAAACAGATACTGAATCCTGCTGTTAAGGCATCAACTGTTGTATGAACTCCAAAACCAGAGTACAATATGGCTGCAATACAAGGCATAATTCCAAAGGCTCCCGAAAAGCAAAAGCTGAAGTCTTATGAGTGGTGAGTGTCAGGGCTTCATGGGCACCATCTGCTCTGCACAGCCTCCATGGACAGCGCCATTGGGTCTTGGCTCCAGTTCCTCCAGGGCTTGCCTGCAACTGCCCTTGGTGCTCATGGACAGCAAGGAGCTGTCATAGCACTGCCGCAGTTGTCAGAAGTTTTTCTAAATGCAAGATCGCATGTTCCAGGGACTGCTGATGGTATCTTCCCACAGAAGGAGCTCCAGACTGCAACTCTAACGAGATTAATATACACAAGAGAAACAAGGTGAATAAATACTGTCCTCAGCTAATAGCCAAATGAACAATGCTCTCTCTTCAAGCTTTCATTTTCATGTTGTGCTATTAAATCACCCATGTTAACTATCTAACATGCCAGAAGCTCAAGAGTCAATCAGCCTCAGATGGGTGGCATGTAAACAAAAAAGCTAAGCAATGGGGAATATAGGTGAGATGGGAACTGATTTAACTCTTCTAATATGTTTCCAGCTTATTATTGGCATAAGAGGAATCCAAGAGCTGAATTTAAAAAAATACCTGATGCATTTAATATTCCAGAGAAAAGGCATACTAAATAAAGAGAACTGAAAATTGAAGCAGTGGCACTGATGCATCTTGTCTTGTCAGTTAGCCTGTACTTTTTCAGAGATAACACTATTCCAATTCATAATATATAATTTCTTTTGTTGCTTCACAGCATGCCCACAAGTAAAACATGTACTATCTACTGAGTTTAATATGACAGTGCCTAACCTTTCAGATTTCTCTCTGAATATCAGCACACTTTCCTGCACAGTTCAAGAAAAAATCTGCTTTTGTTTAATTTGTTATTATTCATAAAATAAAGGTGACAGTTTTCCAAAAGCTCAGGAAGAACCATATCTAGGGCATAGAGTTTATAGATAAGTCCTGTGCTGAGCACTGACAAGTTCAGTTTACTCTTCTTAGTGCTTTATTTCCTACGATGGGATTCAGAAAAAACACTGGTTTTCATTTGGTAAACAACAACCCCTCTAATGCTGGTTCCCTTCCACCCCTTCCTTTTATCTTTTTAATAGAGACTGTACGACACAGATCTTTGTTTGCTTATTTGTTACTGTTTGTTTGCCGTCGTCCATTATGGTATCACCAGGCTTGCCAGAAGAACCCAGGGAAATGTTATTGTTCTGTAAGTAATTGCAATGTCCTCAAGGTTATGTAAAAGAGAATGAAAATTATCTTTTTGCCTCATGACTCCTAACCATAAAGACTGTTAAGTAGCTTTTTTCTCACAAGAGGTCCCAATGCCCTCATACTGCAACTTTTCCAGTAATTGAGACCTGTTCAAGAGCAGTGTTAAAATGCTTTATTGCACAGGAGTGATAAAACAGAGTTATTATCTTCAGTCTTCAAATACAAAGAGAATAGATATATAACTTATATAACTCAGATTCCCAGATCTGATGATGCTACTATATGATCTGGATGTGAGTTAATTTTACCTGAATTAATTAGATCAACTTATCTCAGAGAGAATTTTAGTACATAGCAATGCAATTTGGGAGAGTGCTAGTTGTTCAGTCTATTTTACAGTTGAGATTAAAAGGAAATATCTGCCAAATTTTATGTTTATGTCCCTATCAAAAGATATTTTAATGTTTCAAATTGAAGATAAATACCCTAGAACTGAATGGAATGAAAACTCTGGATCCATAATATGATCATTAAGCTTAGCCACCAGCTAATCAAAACTGTGAGTTTCTGTAAATACACAGGCATATCAATTTTCATGTGCAGGAACAGCTCAGAAACCAAGGTCCGTCTAAGCTAACCAGAAACAAGAGAAATCTCAGTGTCTAGAGAGAGCTCATAATTTTAGAACAAACCTCCTATGCACAAGTTTTTTTGGCTCCCTGTGAAATGCAGTGGCAGATTTCTACCTCTTTAAAAATGTGACTGGAAGTGAAGTTGCTGAGTAGTTCAGACTAGTAACACTTGGATTGCCGGGCAAATGCTTATTTTTCACAAACTCTGAGGAAGGTTTTCAGGGGAAGCGTGCTGGAAAGGGAACATATTAAGATGAATAGAGCATACATTGTCAGTAACCTTGAAACATGTAAAAAGTCTTGCAATTCTCTCCAGACTAACAGTTCTAAATTCAAGAAAAACAGAGGCAAATATATATGTAAAAGAAGGGGGGGCTGGGGGAGAAGACCTAATATGCAATGAATGCTACTCTAAATCCATACTCAGGGTATCAAAAAAACCTAGAACCCAACAAGTATTCAGTTCCCCTCATTACATGTTCTGACTTACAGTCTCAGTGGTGGAATCAGGAAAGTGATGGAACTTAGAAGCAGAATTCCATAATAGTAACAGGTAAGCATTCTCCTGACTCAATCAATATACTTGACTCTTCCTTTTAGAAACAATTTCCATGCACCCCCTTAGCAATAGCTCATTTCTTGTAACCATAACTAACATTCTTTTCCTCTCTATAAGCGGCTTTGTTTAGATACAAATATGAATCAACACAGAGTATAAAGTAACTGAGAAGTTTGGAGGGATCACATAACAGACTGTTTCAGAAAAGCATTTATTACTTTAAGAACTGAAACTGCATTCAGAAGTTGCTTTTTGCTAT